CAAATGGCGCCAGCGCCAAGAATCAATGCCATATTCGTGATTGGCATGTGAGGGAACCCCCAAATGCAAATTTTCAGTGTGAAATAATCAACGAGAAGAAATCGCGTCTGAAACCTGCCCCGTGTGGCCGCATGACACACCATGTGTGTCACGCCAGCCTCGCATCGAAAAAGGCCGCGGTCACACGTGAATGCCACGCGAAATAGGCGTCGGGCCGAAATGTGTTAAACAACATTGTCATAAGTAGCTTAAGTAGTACTGAGTTAAAAAAGTAAAATGGAAACCGAATGAGCCTTTTAAAGCTTTAAATTGAGATAATAGAGACCAACACGAAAAAATGTAGGGAATCCATGCAGTTGGGGTCAGCGTCGAAGAGCACTGGAAAATAAGTGTGGGGAGAAATCAATATACGGTTTGCTGGTCGAAGACCTCCTAGGATGATGACGTCACGACCAGCTGGACGCCTTCCTATCGTAGATCGCGGGGTTCGATCTCCGATATTCTACGGTATCCCCTACAAATGCAAACTGAAAAAAGGTTTGCCAGTTCTTTTGAAACGCGCCACGAATCCGACTTTCATTTCGAAGTGGGATAAGTATTTGAACGCGCAGCTGGTTTATAGGATAAGTTGTTGCTCAACCCGACTGTAACCCTAGATAAAAGTCAGAGTTCAGTCAGAAATTGTTAAATGTTCCATTAAAAGACTTCGTTAATGCACGATCACTGAAAATAGATTTTCAGAACGATTCCAGTCTGGCTAGCGCTGCTATTCTGTGTCAGCTGGATATGCGCATGTGCGGCTCTGTTTCTTATTTGGGAGAAACGGTGGACGTTCTTTACAAGCCTCTATTTCTTCTTCATCTCACTTTCGACGATTGGATTAGGTGAGTTCGATGAGATCCACTAATTGCTTTTTAAGGTGGTTTCCAGATGCTGAAGGAGCTGGAAGAAGAGGCAGGTCTAAACTGGGCTGCATGCATTCTGGTTGTCTGAGGGTGGGGGAGGGTCGTATTTGCTCGCCGATTGCCCCTCACCCACTCGACGGCAAATGTAGGAAGTAGGGGAGTAGAGGGGAGGGGGAGAAGGTCAGCTAGGTCACTAAAATGGATGGTAAATGGAATGGGAAGTGAAAAGGGATCCCGGCACGCTCTTCATTTTCCAACAACTTTCTCACAGGTAGTGCTCTCTCTCTACGCTGAGCCTGTTGAGCGTTGAACGAGAGGTTCACTTGAACAGTGCGAAGGGACTGGCACTGTTGCCCTATCGAGTGCACTTCCTATCCCCGACTTCTTTGGTACCAAATTTTGACTGTTCTGGAAGCATTCTGCACGTTCGCTAGTTCCTTTCGTAACCATTTCAATGCTGACTATAAAGGCTCTTATACTGGGGAGACCTGTAAACTCTTGCGAAGCTGCAAGTGGTGCAAGTGAGCCACTTCGGCTACAGGAAATCACAGGTCTTCACACGGTGACTGCACAAACCTTCTCGCTGGTACCACTTGATGCCCACACAGCGACTGCGCAGAAAATCTTCGCAACGATAGCAGAGAGGACAAGAAAGACACTTTTCTTTGACCTTCGGGGTGGTGGTGAGGATTTCCACTTATGCAAAACTCTTACTGCGCTCTGGTTCCTAGACGGATAGATGCGAAAATGAGTGTGAGCGCATCAGCTTTTGGACTTCAAGGAGTAAAATGTAGCGCTGAAATCGAAGGAAAAACACTTATACGGCTCGTCCTCTTGAAGCGAGTACCAACGCGAAACCTTTCCCACGGTCGACTGACATTTCCACGAGGATGACGATCTGAGACTTTGCTCGGCTGCCTGCGCAGCTGCTTGTATTTGGCAAGGGCATCACCCCATCTTAGAACAGGTCTTCCTTTAGGACATGAACTTCCTACAGGAGCTCATCCTACCGTCCTCTTCCTCCATCTATCATTGCATTTTCGCATAACATGCCCGGCCCACTGCAGTCTGGCGCTTTCAAAGAGCAGACTCGTCTATTTCAGGTGATGTTGTCCCTGACCATCCTCATATGCTGATATTAATGTTCTGGCTGGTAATTATTGGGCTTTCAATTGTTTCTATGCTACTCACTGTGATCCAAATCAAATTTGAAGAATGCCTTTATAACTTCATGATTAGAATGCAGGTGGGTCAAGAGCAGCTCTTTTCAGTCTGAAAAGTCAACCGCAACCATTTATTGGAATTCCAGGAAGAATACCAACGAAAACTGGCCAATGGAATGCCGTTCGATCATGAAGAGATTAAAAAGAAAGCGATGGAGGACCAACCCCTTCTCATGAAGCTTTTCGGTCCGGATCTGATGACCGAAGAACAGAAAGAAAAGATCGAGGATACGGTGAGCACCCATGTTCTGTTCATTCCTGCAGTCTTGTTTCCTGTGGATGATGGGGCGTATCAAGGGGAGCGGGTGGGTCTGGCGCGGCGCCAGCCTGTCTTCCAGTTGTTGTCACTTGCCAATCTCTACAGTTGGTGGAGAACGGTTTGGTGCTGCGGCAAACCCATGCCCCGCGTCACGCCCGAGAATCTGCGGTGAACAGACTGCACCACTTTTGAACGAGAAACCATAAAAATCAAACCCGTTGAGGATGACAATTCTCAGTTGGAGCATTTATTGAGACTCTAGCATTGCTAACTGACGATGTGACCCGAATAACCTCTAACTAAAAGCACCCTGTCCCTAACAAAGTCCCTATTCCAGGCAGAACAATTCGAGCGAATTATTCGAATCACAAACAACAAAAACATCCAGACGGAAATGCCAGCTGTGTACGGTGCCGCAACCCAGATTGACAACCTGGCAGCTGTGGGTCTTATGTGAATCGGATACAAAATAATCCCTAGAACTGTATAGCAT